TCCACTAAAGTACCTAGAGAAGGATGCCCATTATCAACACAACTACTGAACACTTCAGCACAGGAATTAGTCAATGCAGTAAAACCAGAACAAGACGTAAGAGGCAAGAAGGAATGGAAAAGAAATAAAACTGTATTATTCAGACATGAAAACTATTTAGAAAATACAAAAGAATTATGAACTGTTATTACTACATTTCACTGACTCTGAAGATACCAATTATAAGCTGTACCCTTATTTTATACATTATTAAGAAAAAAACACTGCCAATTAAACTGATACAGTATTTTCTTATTATCTAGGACTTTCACTCTAGATTTATCAAGACAATTCTTTCAGACTTAAACTTTTATCAGATCTTGTGCATACAGAAGAAAAAGAAATTGGTAAGGTATTCCTACAACTTCACATCCAAGGTCCTACTATGGATTGCTTTTCTACTCAAAACTGTTCAACTTCTGCTAACAATATTGTCCTCTGCCAACAAGAGTATTGGTGATGCAGCACTTCTTAAAATTACCCATTATTATTTATGTGATTTTCTTTCAAGGCAGACACCCACTTCACAATTTCTTTGGCCTCCAGTTTTATTGTTTGGCATGAAATAATAATACAACAATGCACATACTCATTTAAATTGATGACAAAATGAAGAGCCCTGACCAAGTTTGTGTATGTGAAGGCAATGATAGCTACATCATGACTGCTGCCTAGACAACAATGATTATAGGACACCATCAAAGATCTATTTTGATTTCAGGTACGTGAAGATGTAGAGGGAAAAGTGTACCTCGGAATCTATGAAATATGAGGAGTTCAGCAAGGTTGCATGAACAGTACTTGTAAGTCAACAGTGATCCCTACACATGAGCAGTAACAAAACAGAAATTATAACTAAAAGAAAATACTATTCACAATGACAACAAAAATTACAGGATCTAACAAAAGTTGTACAAGAGCTTTATGAAAAGTAGCAGCACATACCCAGATTTAAATCCCAGCTCTACTACTTAGCATTTATCTATATGAATGTATTTATTCTATAAATTGGAGGCAAATATAAAAATCCAACAACAGTTTTCACAGATATTGACAAAATGACCCTAAAATAAGCAAAGGAATGAAAATAGCTAGAATAATCCTGAAGGAAAATATATATTAAGTTTTAATTATAAAGCTATTATTATTAAATCAGGATAATATAGATACAGATATAGGCAAACAGACCAATTAAACCAAAATAGAGAAACAAAAAAACAGATACATATGTGGGAATATGTTATACCTCAGGAGTTGCATAATAAATCAGTGGGGAGAAAAGCTGAACTATTTGATAAAACCACATGAAAAAGATATTAAATCCCTACATCACACAATACATTAAAAAAAAACTCTGGTGAATTAATGACCTAAATATGAAAAAGCACTGTATCATTAAAACCTTGGGGTAAGGGAAGAATTAAGATATAAGAAAACACAGGCCATAAATGAAAAAAAAAAATTGAGAAAACTGGATACCATCATATTAAGAAGTCCTACATAAAAAACTTTCCATAAACAGCGCTAAAAGCCAAGCCACAGACCAGGAAAAGATATTTTCAGTGTATATGATCACAAACTAGTATTCAGAAAATAAAACCCATAAACCAGCCGGGCACAGTGGCTCATACCTGCAATCTAGCACTTTGGGAGGCCAAGGCAGGCCAATCACTTGAAGTCAAGAGTTCGAGACCAGCCTGGCCAACATGGTGAAACCCCATCTCTACTAAAAATACAAAAATTAGCCGGGCATGGTGGCAAGCGTCTGTTACCCCAGCTACTCAAGAGGCTGAGGCAGGAGAATTGCTTGAACCTGGGAGGCAGAGGCTTCAGTGAGCCAAGACTGTGCCACTGCACTCCAGCGTGGGTAACAGAGTGAGACTCCGTCTCAAAAAAATAAATAAAACCCATATACCAATAAGGAAGAGGCAACAATCCAACAGAAAAATGGACCAAAGGTATGCACAAGCAATTCATAGGCAACTCAGATGGCCAATAAATACATGGGGAAAAAAGGTCAACCTCATTACTAGAAATGTAATCTAAGATTACATTTAGAAAAGCAAAATGAAAATAGTAAGGAGTATAAAACCCAACAGATTGGGAAAAAATTGCAGAATCCAATCCTTTGGCAGTGATTTGGAGAAACGGGATCAAACATAGCTGGTGGGAGTGTCAAATAGAACGCTGAATTCAGCAATTCCCAGTAAGGTTGACAATGCACAGACTTCTTAAATGAAGCAATTCTACTTCTATTATCTGTATATAATCCCAAGAAAGACAAATCATGTATAAGGATGTTCACAGCAGTAGTGTTTGAAATTCAGAAACTGCAAACAGCCTCAGAGTCCCTCCAAGAATAGATAAACCACAGTCTATTTATATACTGAAATACCAATAAAATGAATGAACTAGATCAGCAGTTTTCAAACTTCTTGGTCTCAGGACTCCTTTGCATTCTTAAAAATTAAGGATCACAATTAAAAATAAAAAAATTAAGGACCACCAAGAGTTTTTATGTGGGTTATAGCTATAGATATTTATCATACTAGAAATTAAAACTGAGACATTTAAAAGCACTTATTAATGCATAATAATAAACCCACTGTATGCAAATATACTTTTTTTTCTTTGTTCCTTTCTTCTCTTTTGTTGAGATATTCTATTTTTTTTAATTTTTATTTTAGGTTCAGGAATACTGTGAAGGTTCGTTATATAGGTAAACTCGGGGTTTGTTGTACAGATTATTTCATCACCCAGGCATTTAAGCCCAGTACCCAATAGTTGCCTTTTCTGTTCCTCTCCCTGCTCCCACCCTCCGCCCTAAAGTGGACCCCCAGTGTCTGTTGTTTCCTTCTTTGTGTTCTTGAGCTGTCATCAGTTAGCGCCCACTTGTAAGTGAGAATATTCAGTATTTGGTTTTCTGTTACTGGGCGTTAGTTTGCTAAAGATAATAGCCTCCAGCTCCATCTATGTTTCCACAAAAGACCTGATCTCGTTCTTTTGTATGGCTACATATTTACTTTAAAATAACTATTTTTCAAAAAAAAAAAAAAAAAAATAGTAAAACAAGTGGCACTGTTTTACATTTTTGCAAATCTCTTTCATGTCTGGCTTAATAGAAGCCAGCTGGATTCCCGTGTTTCTGCATTCTATCTATTATGGCATCATATGTCATGCAGCCTCTGTACAGCATTCCTATAGTGTACAGGAAAATGTGGGTGAAAAAGGCAAATAAAAAGTATTATGAAAACAGTCTGACATCATGGACTCCCTGAAAGAATCTTAGGGATCCCCAGGAATCCCTGGAGCACACTTTGAAAATTGCTGAGCTAGATAAACACATTACGTGGATATATCTTAAAAACACACCGTTAAGTGAAAATAATAATATAAGACACGGTTATGATACTGTTCATGTAAAATTAAACACACAGGCAATGCCTGATATTGTTTTGGTACATACATATTGGGACAGTGGTTACTTCTGGCGAAGAGAAGACAGAATGGGAGGGGGAAGTACCCTTTGACTGAATCAGTGAGATTTTATTTCTTTAAACAACAAAAAGACATGAATCAAGTATATAGCAAAATATTAAGAACTGTCAAATCTGGGTGATTTTCATTTTCAGTAATTTTAAAATACTCCATAAAACTTTTTAAATATATGTATTTTTAATGCCTAATGGCTGTGTACTTCGAAGCCACACAATTTCCTTAAAGCACATTTCCTTTGAGTAAAATACAATTATAAGATACCTGGATTTTATAAAACGTTGTCTGGAAAAACAATTTGGCAGGAGTAAGAATAGGCTGGCCATATTCCAATCAGATAAGGGGTGGCAGGAGGGGGGTTATTCCTTGACCTGGTACCCTGACAGGATAAGCGTGCCTTAATATGTCTATCCCTTGGTCAAAAAACACACTGACTGGATATCTGATTCTGAGCAGCTGAAAACTATTCAATTACATAAAATTATCTGCACCCAATAACGGAAATGATTGTTTTTGGAGATAATGGTCCATATGCCAGGTACTATTTGGAGACAAAGATAAATGAGAACTTATCTCTATATTCAGTTTAGAAGACAAAAATATAAACACACAGACAAAATGTAATATGTTAAATGCTAAATTAAGGGGAATCCCACCATAGAAAACAGATAAGGCACACAGAGTTTCTGAAACACAGAACACTTTTATATAACACACCTGTTAACATGCTGTGCAAGTTTCCCAATCTGGAAAATACTGGATTTAAGAGTAAGTGGGGTGAAAAGAGAAGACAAGTGAGGTTTTTGTGAGATGAGCAAACCTAGGAATATTTGTAAAGAGAGGGTAATGATGCAAGAGACGGCATCACAGAGCTCCATCCCTAAGGAGGCAGCCAGGGTTAAGAGCAGGCGCAGAGCAGCGGGGCTTGCAAGAACAATCCCTCCTGCAACAGCCCCCTGCGGCAAAAGGAGAAAGGCCTAGGCGGAAGACAGAAGAAAGGTATGAAATGGAAGGGAGGGAAACTTGGCTGTTTATCAGATGGCCATCTACCCTTCTCAGTGAAGTAAGATTGGGTAATCTTTGCTGAAGGTGAGGGATTTCAGGGACCATTTGAGTAGTTTAAATGTGAAAAAAAAGTTTGGAATTGCCAGTGTACACAAGCACAAATATTATAAATAAGATTATCAGTGACAGTATCAGTCTAAATGGGGTTAGAGAGTAAGCATTTACAAAAAGCAATGTGGGAAAAAAACTGTAATGCATTTGTGAGCATGCTTTTTAAAAAAAAAAAAGAAATCTGCATCTATCTGAAAAACAGAAATTTAAAACTAACACCTTATTTATCCAGGGTAGTTGAGTTAGAAGGTGTTCCTCCAGTCAGTTTTCCAGAGTTTCAAGGTCTACCTTTCAGGCAAAAATAATTTTGTATTTAACCATTTCTCATGGAAACTAAACTACACACTTACCTGTCTTAATCACACAACTTGACTCTAATCTTAAATCTCGAACATCCACTGTTGCTGTACTGCGCAGCAAAACAATTCTATCTTCTTAATAGTTCTTCTATGTCTTTCCCAGCTGTCAAGATATAAAAGCACCTGGTTCTTCTAAGTTTATGTTTACCCTTAACACCTCAACAACCACAGCCCGCCTTCACAACTTGCTTCTAGTCAGCCTCATGCAATGCAGTTTCTCGAACTTTTCTAAACCATAGCCCTTTATAATAAACATGAGACTCTCATTCCCTCCAGCCCTTTCATGGAGCACTGCTGCTCATGACCTGTTACAGTCCAGAAAAACGGAAAAACTGAAAATGGGTATCCATGCCACCTAAAGGTTCCTATCATAAAATTCTAGGTAGCAGGCAGGGCACGGTGGATCGTGCCTGTAATCCCAGCACTTTGGGAGGCCAAAGCAGGCAGATCACGAGAGGTCAGGAGTTCAAAACCAGCCTGGCCAACATGAAACCCCCTCTCTACTAAAAATACAAAAATTAGCCAGGCATGGTGGCAGGGTCCTGTAGTCCCAGCTACTTGGGAGGCTGAGGCAGGAGAATCACTTGAACCTGGGAGGCGGAGGCTGCGGTGAGCTGAGATCGCGCCACAACAGACTCCATCTCAAAAAAAAAAAAAAAAAATTCTAGGAAACACATTTCCCACATATGTATCTAGATTAGTCAAATATTAATCAAAACATGAGCAGGAAGGTTTGGCTTAGCAAACAGTCTTAGTTATCCTCTCAAACAAAACGGTGGTTCCTTTCACCAGGGGGAAGGACAAATTGCAAAAGACCATGTGAAGGTACTGTCTTTTTAATAATGGCTCTTCTAAACTAGACTTTTCAAAACTGACTTCTTAAAAAGTCACCACAGGAGGCCGGGCACAGTGGCTCACAGTTGTAATCCCAGCACTCTGGGAGGCTGAGGTGGGAAGATCACGAGGTCAGGAGTTCCAGACCAGCCTGATCTAAATGGTGAAACCCCATCTCTACTAAAAATACAAAACTTGGCGGGGCGTGGTGGTGCACACCTGTAATCCCAGCTACTCAGAAGGCTGAGGCAGGAGAATCGCTTGAACCCGGGAGGAGAAGGCTGCAGTGAGCCAAGATCGTGCCATTGCACTCCAGCCTGGGCGAGAGAGCGAGACTTCGATTCAAAAAGCAAAAAGAATTACCAAGGGAATACTCATTTCTCATTTTCATCAAATAAGCACTAGTCCTGTACTTTTCAATCAAGGTAAATGAAATTTTAGAAACCCCTCCCTATTTGTGTACCATAGAAATTGTAAAAACTCTGAGCAAAAGGTTTTGGATAAGAAATCAGGATAGAAAAAAGGAACAGCTGTCTTAATAGAGACGCATCATTCCAAAAGTAGCAAAAGTTGCTTAACTTCTGAATATTCCTGTAATCGTTCTGATAATGAAAACACCGATCAATTTACTACTCTCATTATTTTTCAACTTTGAAACTTTTCCTAGTACAATGGAACCACTAAGTACCGTGAAGCACAGCTCAGGGGCCAGACGGCAGTGGGAGGCTGGAAAACAGCTTGAGCCCAATATAGCAAGAACCTGTCTCAAAATAAAAAATAAATAAGTAAATAACAAGGCGCAGCTCAGGTGTGCCATCACTCTTCTAGTTGAGGGCACCCCAGCTGCCTCCCCCATTGAATATAAGACCCTGGCAAGCAAGCTCTTCTGCAATCAACTTTTCTAGCCTAAATTCCCACCACTCCCCTACCATGCACTTTTGCCAAACTGCAAATACTTACTGTTTTCTGAAGAAGCTTCACCCTTGAAACGTCCTTTTTCCACCTCCACCTCTACCTAACAAAGTCCTCCCCATCCCTCTGCAACCTTCTCCAAATGCCACCTATTAATACTTCAGGAGCCCTTCCCTCCCTGATCCTCCAATAGCAACCTTGCTTCCCTCGGAAATCCCAGTAATTAGCTGTACCTCTCACTTTACTGCATTTCACCTTGCCCCACCTACCTCTAAACATGAGACTTCTCGAAGCCACCGTCTGCATTACAAGAACCTTTTTAATGTTTCTAAGCACCTAGCACAGTGCATCGCTAACAGTGGGCTCCGAGTTTATCAAGAAAGTTGTACAGTGTGCAATCAAAAAAGTACGGTAGGGGATGAAACTCCGCCTTAAAACTTCACAAATGAAAAATCGAAATACCATGACAGGCAAATGCACAATAAATATGCACCACACTATGCTGTCCTCCAATAAGAAATTAAAAACGTCTACCCTTCTTATTCCTCAATTTAAAAAAAAAAGTAAATACCACTAACAAATCACTAATCGCTTAAATCGTTTTTCAAGAAATTTGTTTCCACATACATAAATTTGTTTCCACTATGTGAGTACGAATGATTCAAAATTTTATTCCTCCGCTTTCGTGTTGGGCAATTTTTTTCCCTATAAGACAAAAGGATGGCGAGAACTTTCCCATCAATCTTCATTTTTCTTTCTTTATTCAGATACTCGGGGCGGCAAGGATTGTTGGAAAAACAACCGCATCGAAGGCACCTTAGGAGCCACATATGATTTGACTTAACCAAAAATAACATTTCCTGGGGTCCCGTATGCCCTGGTGAGCCCAGGTGTCCGGAATGCCACCTGCCCCGAGAGCCCTCGGGTGGCTACAGGCGCGGGCGAAAGGCGCAGGGCCAGGGGCACTGAGGGCGGAATGGTCCTGGCGCCCCGGCGGCGGCTGCGGCGGCGGCGTTAGCCGCCTGCGGCAGCTCAGCTGAAACGCAACGGAAACTGCAGCCAGTCACGGGGCTGCGGGAGGCAAGGCAGGAAGGTGGCGCTGCCGCCGAGCGCCTGAAGCCCGAGCGCTCATCATGGCGGCAAGGGCAATGGCCGCCACGGGGAGCGAGCACGCCCCTCCGCGCGCACACGTCGCCGCGCCGAGCCTCCGGGCCCCGTCACCGGCGCCGCAGCCGCCGCCGCCGCCGCCCGCTCTCCCACCCCCCCTCACGGGCTGTAGCGGAATTTTCTCTCCAGACACCGCCTCCAAGATGGCGGCTCCCCCTCCCGGCAACCCCCTCTATCGTCCCCTGCAGCAGCCGCCGAGCCGCCGCCATCTTGTCCCCCCGTCCCTCCCCCCCTCGCCGATATTTACATAGCGAAAATCGGCCCGGCCGGCCTGCGGCCTTCACCTCACGCCTGCAGCCTTCGCCTCCTTGCCAGGCCTCACCCCGGCGCGGTGCCCCGGGTCAGCCGCGGCGCCGACTTGGGGCCCCTCGGTCGCCTCCGGGACAACCGGGCGACCCTCCCCCAACCCCCGCCCGCTTACGGAGCGCGCCTCCGCCGCCGCTCAGGGCAGCCGGGCTCCTCCCCGGGCCTAACTGCGGCCTCCTCGGGGCCTGCTCGGCGCCGCGCGCCACGCCGCCCGGCCTAGCGCGCGAGGGCGCCTTGCGGGCCGCCGACCAGGCCGAGACCAGGCCGCTGTGCGCGCACTAGGCCCCGCGGCCGCGGCGGGACCCGGGACTCACCGGACAGGCGTGCGGGCGGCCGGCGACGGTGGCGGGTGCTGCAAGCAGGCCTTTCTTTGGAGTACTGGGCCGGGCTCCGGTTGGTGGGGCGGGCGGAGGGAGGGAGGAGGGGCCGAGCTCGGAGCTGACAAAAAGCGGCCCAGCTCCCCGGCACCGGCCCGCCGTCAGCACGTCACGTCACCGCCCGGGAGAGAGACCCAGGAAAATGCGG